CTGCACATATGAATGAATTCTGTATAAAGCCTGATGGGAACTTGTTTCTCTTTATAAACACACATCACAACTAAAGAAATGTGATTATGTGAGTTTATTCGTTCCTACGTTGCACCACGTGCTGTTTACGGTGTCGTACCCGGAAGTGTGAGCGGAAGTGCTGGAGCGGTGAACACGGACGAACATGGCCGCTGGTTTTCTGACCAGAGCGGCTGGTTTGTTTCAGCTCCGCCGGTCAGCGACGCTTCTGACCGGGACAAGATTTTACCGGACAACCGAACCGGAGCCGCCGACGGTGAAACAGCAGAGCGACGGAATAAGGTGCAGCGGTGAAATGTGTCCGTCCTCTGTTTACAAACAGGAGGCCAGAGGTAGAAGCTTTAGATTTAAGAGATGAATAAAGATTTAAACACCCACAGTGGGTTACAGTGGTTCGAGCGGGACTTCATTCCACATTACAAGGTCTAAGAAGAGATTCGGCACACATGTCATTCCCGTGTGATTTATAATTCTGCAAAATTCTCAATGTCAACATTAGGATGTCACATTATTCTTCGACGACATGAATGAGAAAATATCACAAATCTATCAAAACGTTGCTTCAGAAACGTTTAATCGACTAATGTCTCTCATGCAGTGGAGATAAAAACTTATTAAGTACAAGTATTTTCTTTCTCACAGTTTCCAGAACCTCAAAACTTTCTGTTCTTATACTTTTTATGTAGTAAAGGAGCATTGAATCACAAGTATTTAAATATAATGTGGGATAGAAGTACAGTACACGTAGTAGTAGTGGAAGGAAGTGGAACATGACGTCTCCAGAAACAGGTTAATAAAGATTGATTATAATATTCTGTACAAAGTTGTGATTACAACTTAAAAACTAAAGGTTTAATAATATTCTGCTCCTCACTGGTTTAATGTGAATTATAGTTCATTCTTATTCTGTCGTGTCCTGTGGTGGTTGTGTTGCTGTTTTGTTTTCAGGAGAATAATCTTGAACAATCCCCAGAAGAGAAATGCTCTGTCTCTGTCCATGTTGGAATCTCTCAGAGAAAACCTCGTCACTGACGTCGACAGTGACGATCTCAGAGTTATTATCATATCAGGTGAGAATTTATTTCTAATGTGTGTGTGTGTGTGTTAGAGTGACGGAGAAAAGATGTCGGTCTAAACGTGTTTGTGTGTTTCAGCCAAAGGTCCGGTGTTTTCCTCCGGACACGACCTGAAGGAGCTGACGTCCGCTCAGGGCAGAGAGTATCACACCAAGGTGTTTCACACCTGTGCAGAGGTAAATGTTTCTGTCTATGTAATCATGTCATCACATCAACATGATGCTGAAAGTGTCTGACACCTGTATTCTCTGTAATGACCAGCAGAGGGCGACTCCACCGGTAGTTTCTATAGAAGTCTATAGAAAATGTCTCCACTTCTCATTTTATAACTTCAGGAAACTTTGTCCTCTGTGTCTCAGTCTCTAGTTTCAAGTCTTCTTCAAACAGCTGATGTTCATTTAGATGAAGATAAGATTCATTCGAGGAAACTAAGTCTGTGTCTCTTGTGCTTCAGGTAATGACTCTGATCCAAGACATACCTGTTCCAGTGGTCGCCATGGTGAATGGAGTTGCCACGGCGGCCGGTTGCCAGCTTGTTGCCAGCTGCGATATTGCCGTGGTGACCGAGAAGTCAACCTTCGCCACGCCGGGGGTAAACGTGGGTCTGTTCTGCTCGACGCCGGCGGTGGCCATCGGCAGAGCTGTGCCGCGGAAAGTAAGAGCTGAAGCTAGTGAGGGAAACTTTTAGATCTTGAATTCAGATTCACTGATTGATCTGCAACAATTTTGATTGACTTTATGAAGCTCAAGGCTAAATGCTATGTTTGATTTACACCGTCTCTTTCTCTTCTAACCAGGTCGCCATGGAGATGCTGTTCACTGGAACTCCCATCTCAGCCCATGATGCTTTGCTGCACGGTCTGGTCAGTAAGGTGGTGCCAGAGGAGCGACTGGAGGAGGAGACGTTGGCCATCGCCCGGCGGGTGTGTCAGGCGAGCCGACCCGTCGTAGCCCTCGGAAAAGCCACTTTCCAAAGGTCGGAGTTTTAACAGGGCAGACACATTCGTTTTAAATGTCCGGGAACCATTGAACAGTTGAATTTCACTTTCATTAGTTGAAATGATTTTATCACTGGACAATAGCAGCTTCCACACTCCAACTTCAATTGGACGAGGAAGATGAAGAGTTAAAACTGATGGTTTTATACTGAATCAAATGTTTTCCTTTGTTTCCTCCAAAGACAAATGGCTCAAGGCCGAGACGCAGCGTACGCCACCGCCTCCAAGGTGATGGTGGACAACCTGGCTCTGAGCGACGGACAGGAGGGGATCCGAGCCTTCATAGAGAAACGCAAACCAGTGTGGAGCCATAAACCAGAAAAGGCCCACGACTGACGGACGGACGGACGGTTTGGAGAAACTTTAACCACCGCACGTCACTGCAGTGATGGACGTATTGTGCTGATTGGTGCTCGTGGTTGAATAATTAGCACCAGGCCTGAGTCAGTGATTGGACTGTGAACATGAGAGAGTTTAATTTGAACCATGATAAGGTTTGAAATCGTCGACTTCATGTCCCCTGAGGATTTAGTCACTGAACCGCTGTGCCTTTAAAAAATCTGCTGAGTAGAGACGAGAGGGAAAAACACTGATGATGAAATAATAGACTCATAATTACAAAGAATGCTGCTCGCTGTATAATATTTGTAAAATGTTTAATGCAGTACAGTAACTCTCTAAATCATTTTCCCAACCAAAGTGTTTATGAGAACGTAAAACCTCTTTTCAACTCACTGGGAGAAAAACATGGAAATCATCCAGAATCAGGCCTAAAATTTATTACTTACAATTCTACATTTAGATGTTTTTGGTTTCTGGTTTCAGAGTCTGCACTTACTACGTCATAGACGGTGATTTGTTTATGTCTAAGGAATTTTATTTCATGTAAATAATAAAAATGAGGAAACAGATATTCTCTACCAGCCCACAGAAAAACCAGTACATTCATCTTCAAATCCAATTTTATTATTTGTTTGGTCCTGTCAATGTTACATATCTTTGGGCTTATATCTATAAAACTTTGAATATTTCTCACAAATGTTCAGTCATATATTTAAATACATAGATTGTAGTAGCTTACACTGGTAAATACTTCTAGCACTGAGGTCTCGTTGGCTTTCAGTGGTTTTCTTTCATCTTTGGCAGCTTGTCTCCATTGTTAAAATACTTCTTGGCTCAGCTGTCCGTTACGTTTAGACGTTCGGCTGCTGGCGCTGACACAATCAAAACATCTGAACAGTGTTTGGTCCTGACGGCTATAAAACATGGTATTTATGTGGGAGCAGTATTTGTCTCTATTAGAATCCCGGGCAGCAGAGGTTGAGGTGCTGTCATCACAGACAGGTGCTGTACAGAGTCACTTTGTAGCTGATCTCCTCCAGGATCTTGCGGACGGTTTGCTCCAGCTCGGCCAGCTCTGCAGCTTTGTCCTCCAGGACGCGCTGGTTGTCCTTGTAGGAGCTCTCCAGCTCTGAAAACACAGGATCACAGCGGACATGGAGAGAACTGGAGGAAGTAGACGCAGAATGAAAACACACCAGATTTATATCTTCTTACCTCCAAGTCTCTGCAGCTTGTTGCTGCTCTGAGTGAGCAGCTCCTTGGCCTCCTGCTGCAGCGCGTCTGCTCTCCTCCTCGCCTGCAGCACCGACTCCCCTTTATCCTCCACCAGGTCCTCCACCTCCTCCAGTTTATCTTTCACCTCCGAGTCAAACTCCTTCACACACAAACACACAGAGCATCACAAGGCTGACGGCAGCATGTGTGTGCTCCTTACGTCAGATGTTTCAAAAGGTAAGAGTGTGTTTACAGTGTGTGTGTGTGTGAGAGTGTGTGTGAGACCTTCTTGGCCTCGTCTGCTTCCTGTCTGGCCTGGTTTCTGACCCATTCGGCCGTCTCTGTTAGCTGGTTCACTTCCAGGTTGTTTTGTCTCAGCAGGCCGACCTCCCTCTCCAGCTGAACCAGGCGACCTGTGGTGTTACCGAGCTTCAGCTCCGTTGAGGCTGTCTCCGACTCCACCTGAGACACACACACACACATTAACCCCCTGCATCCTCGCTGTGTGGTAACCCCAGAGGTCAGAGGTGAAACTCACAGAGATCAGCAGGTCCAATGTGCCCTTAGTGTTGTTCTGGGCCAGTTGGATAGCGTCCATGGCGATAGTCTGAGCGCGCTCCGTCTCGTCCAGCGCTGCCTTCACTACATCTGCTGTCTCCTTTACGTTGGACGCCTGTTCACTAACGGACAGACAGAGCAGAGTATTCATGACTCCGCCCCTGGACACAAACGTCCTCCTCCCCGTCACAGTTTGTCTTTGTGTGTTATTACAACCGTGTGTTGCGTGTTACCTGGCAGCCTTGGCCTCCTTCAGCAGATTCTCTGCGACCTGGATGTCCTCAGCGCTCTGACTCAGGATGGTCTCCACGCTGGTCAGGGTGCCGACCTTGTCCCTGATCTCCTTCGTCAGCTCGTGCAGCTTCTCCGTCGAGGTCGGCATCTCCAGAGCCATCACCTCGTTCGCCACCATCTCGATCACCGAAACATCTGCCTTTTCATCTGGATCATTATCAGAGACAAAATACAGTTCATGCCAACGTTTCCATTTTAAAAGTACTGAATGTCTCATATCCATGGTGAGTGGTGCGCTCACTGGTGAGGAGGTCTCGTATCTCTTTGATGAGGTTGCGGAGCTGCTCGTTGCTCTGCTCCACCCTCTCCTTGCTCCGGTTGGATTTGATCAGCACCTCCATCGCGTTCCCCTTGGCCTCGTTTGCACGGATGTTTGCCTCCCACACCTGACCACAAGCAGAGTCAGTGTTTGACTCGTCCTCAGTTATTCTGCTCGAGCTGCAAGAAAGTGTTCACTCACCATCCTGGAGAGCTTGTCCACCTCCTGCATAGCTGCTAAGATCTCCAGGTCCAGGTCCTTGGCTGATTTGAGAGCAGTTTGGGAGGTCGTGACGACGCCTTCGCATCCTTCTCCTCCACAGTGAGGCGCTCCTCCCTCGCCGACACAACCCAACCCGCCGCAGGAGGAGCCGGAGCAGCCGTCACCCGAGGCTGCGCCGCCACACGTCTGCAGAGGAACAGTCCTGTGTCAGTTTGAGGTTTTCTAGAGTATTTGAGTTGTGTTGATGTTTCTCACCTTCTCACTAAGAGGTGTCAGATCAAACTTGTCCAGCTCCTTGGACAGTTTCTCCAGCTTCTGTGAGTTTCTTTGGTGCTTGCGGTCGAACTCCTTCTGACCTCTGCTCAGTTTGTCCTCCGTGGCTTTCCGTACCACGGCGGACTCTTCCACCGTGTTTCCAGGGTCACTGGTGGAGGTGTTTGCGAGGAGCTCCGCCGTCGTAGACTGCGTGTGTGCCGCTGTGATGGTGTCCATGGCACCTGAAAACACGGGGTCAGAAAGTCATTAATTGATGTTGCGCTTGTTTCCCAGTTAAAGGTCAAAATGAAGACACTGTGCCACAGTCTGAGTTCTCACCCTGGAGGTTGGCGTTCTTGGCATCGTACACCTGCTGTCTCAGATCCTGGACGCTCAGCTCCAGCTGGTTGGCCTCGTCCGTCAGTGCGTCCAAGTTAAAGTCGGTGGAGTTGGCGTCGCTGTGGAGAAGGTTCAAGGTCTCCTCTGTGGTGTTGAGCTTTCCGTTCAGGTAGGACATCAAACCACTGAAAACACGGGATGAAGATGAAGGGTGTGTCCTACACGAGTCTCTCTGTGCTGCTCTGTTTGTTTCTGTACGTACGTGATCTGGTGCATTAGATCCTGTGTCTGCTCCAGCTTCACGGCTGCAGGGTTGCTCTCGACTATCTCTCTCACAGCCTTGGCGTTTCTCTCCAGGCTGCCGATCAACTCTTTGTACGGCTCCGTCACCCCGCTGGTCTGGAGCTCCGTCACCTGGGCCTCCAGACGTTGGGTCTGATTGGTCAGCTCGCCGACCACGACGTCCCAGGTGGCGAAGCACTGGTGGCAGGGTTCACAGTCGGGGAACTCGCCCTGGAAGCCACGGGCGCACTTGTCGCAGCGCGGGCCGGAAACACCCTCCACGCAGGTGCACTGACCGGTGGCACGATGACACTGCTCGCTGGAGATCCCCTGAGGGTCGCAGTCACAAGCTGACGACACACACAGAGAGAGGAAGTGCTTTACATCCATGAACACACACATTCATACATCTGTCACTCAAACTCTAACTCTAACTTTTCCTTCCGAGGTTATGTGAGTCCTCTTATTGCTTCATAACTGACCTGGAAACTGTTGTTATAATAGAACAGACACTTGAAAAAGAACAATAAACATCATGCGCTGTGTTGTCTTAAGGAATGTGATACTCGTGAAGTCTCCTCAGGGAAATAAGTCTTTTGAAAACAAAGTTAGTTCAACCTCCAGCAAATTAACTTCGCCATGAAGTCGACCGGGAGGGTCACACTGACCCCCCCCGCCCCCCCGAGCGTTGGGTTTGTCCACTGGGCTGCCCCCCCCCCCCAGAGAAGAGGAGGGAGGTTGTTGAGTGTGAGTCAGGACGGAGGAATGCAGGGTTTGAGAGGTTTCCACCATCAGTGCTGCTGCAGTTTGAGTGTGATTTATGGAGCAGGAGGTGAAGGTCGGGTTTGAACTTTACTTTTTGTCACGTAGAAATATTACACTCGTCTTCGGAAACACACGCACACAGAACATACGTGGTGATTATGGGCACAGGACCACAACACCCACATTCCAGTGACGCTGACTTTCACCTTATAAACCATCTGTTAGTTTTTAATATCTACATTTTAGTGTTTCACATCTTCGTTAACGACACGTTAACTCACAGCTGCCCACACGCCCCCCCCCCCCGTGCATCAGTGTATCATCTGAGCCTATAGGAGGAGAGGTCCAGCTGGTTCAGCAGCTCAAGAGACCTCCAGGGAATAATTCAGCATTCCTGGCTCCTCTGGGAGCCGGAGCATGATGAAAACGGGATGCCTGGGAGTTCTGGAGAACATCTGGCTCTTGTGGGCAGGGAAAGAGAGGTCATTCCCAGACCCCCTCCCTCTGCCTCCCCTCTCCTCACCCTTTCTCTCTCTCAGCCAGCTACTGTGGGGCGTGCATTGTCTGCAGATGGGCGCTCCGTCACTTTGGCTGAGATACTCAGCACCTGTCTGACAAAGTCTGTTTGGTCCAAAGACATTTTAAAAGCTTTGGCTTTAAAAAAAAAAAACTGACGCTCATGATTGAGTCTGAGAATCTCGTGCGATGATGAACGAACCCACCACAGTAGTTCAAAGGGAAACTAGAGCTAGATCTCGTACAGTCAGGATGCGTCTGAACAGTGTTTCAGCGTCGGAGGCTGAAATGAAACAGCGACCGTGAGATTTAAGAGACTGGAGAGTTCATATCCTTATTGGGTGAACGGTGGAGGACTCAAGGTCGTGTGCTTCAGTGTTAGGACAAGGATCCTTAAACAGGCACGCAGGGTAATTTATTATGCTCTAACAGGCCTGTTCTTGGCTGTGTGTGTCTTTAACCTGACCTCAGTCCAGATGTTTCACAAACATGTGGTCGAGAGAAGAGTCTGTTTCAGCTAAAGACGACATTCATCCTCCGCCACTCCCACTTCCCCTGAAGGAACCCCCAGCCTCTCCTCATCTGTATTGGCCGATTGTTACGACACCACGTCATGACAGCGTTCTTTGAATTTGATATTAATACAAAATATTGATTAAAGCATCACGACTGAAACTTATTTTAAGAGTATTATTACTGTATTTTCTGTCTATCCTCCCCTCGTCCTTTCTGTTTGAAACCACTTGGTGGCACCAAAGTTGAATTTAAATGTTAATGACTTTCACCTTGTTCACGTTAAAAAAATATTAAGTACAACACAACTCTAGTATAAACAGCGACAGTGAGTTCTGCAGGTGTTTGAAAACTGAAGCCGACGGTGACGCTGACCTACCGTGACATTTAACCTCTGGATTCCCCCAGAACAGCTCCCTGCACTCCCGACATGTGCTGCCGCCAAAACCAGGTTTGCACGAGCACTGACCTGTGACCTGCAGCAAAAACACACAAAAACACGTTAACTACATACTATCGGACAAAAACCTGTTGTGTGTGTCGGGCTGAAGTTTTAATCTCAGCGTTTCTTTCTCTCGCTGACACAACGGACTCTGGATAAATACAACTGTCTTCTCTTAAAGAAATGCACATTCAGTTATTCCACAGAGTATTGTGAGATTTCCTTCCTCTCATGGAAAGCAGCCAGTAAACACAGAAACCCACATATTTATGTGTGTGTGTGTGTGTGTGTGTGTG